CGTTGAGAATTCAGGACATGGAAGTTATAGTGGGTACCCGATGACTTTGGTTTGCTGTTTGCTCCAAAGGACTTCCATATTGGATACTTTACACAAACCTCTGGGATATGCTCCATGATAACCAGCCACATGTACCTAACATTCACTGACATTGCCATCTGACATATCCCATGCTCTAAGAACCCTCACGGCACATCTCCAATCCACTTTCAGAATGCTTCTGCATTTCGATGCTGCCCCTCAAGTTGCACCAGCAACTATCACTGTAACATAGCTGAGAACAGAATATGCTTTCAGGGACACATTCCCAGCTTATGGTTTGAACCAGGCTGCACCTCCGGCCTGCTTGCTTGTTTTCATAGTGCTCATTTGCTTTGAGTCTACTAGGTTGCTTGCAGCATTCCTGTCTTGCATTGCCTTTTTGCATAGTGCCCCCAAGCCAATGATACCATACTGACAGTATTACTTGCTATATTGTCGCGCCATTTAGCGTACACACAGTTAGGAATTTTATCATGATTCCTGAAGTCAAGGAAGATAGCCTTTGCTCAGGGGGTCATAGAGTCAGAGAGTCCTACAGCACAGAGACTGGCCCTTTGGCCCAAATGGGTCCATGCTGACCAAAATGTCCATCCATAGTGACCCCATTTCCCTGCACTCAGCCCATATTCTTCTAAACCTTTCCCATCCATGTATTCATCCAAATGCCTTTTAAATGTTGTTAATGTACCCGCCTCAACCACTTCCACTGGTAGCTCATTCCATATGTGTACCACCCTCTGTGTAAAAAAGTTGTCCCTCAAATTCCAATGTATTCTTTCCCCTCTTACCTTAAACTGATGTCCTCTAGTCCTCAATTCCCCAACCCTTGGAAAAAGGCTGAGTGCATTCACCCTATCCAAGCCTCTCATGATCTTATACACTTCTATAAGATCCCCCCTCAGTCTCCGGTGCTCTAAAGAAAAAAGTCCTAGCTTGTCCAGCCTCTCCCTATAACTCAGTGCCTCGAATCCTGGTAACATCTTTGTAAATTTCTTCTTCACTCTTTCCAATTTAATAACAGCTTTCCCATAGCAAGGTGACCAAAACTGAACACAATACTTCAAGTGTGGCCTCACCAACGTCCTGTGCAACTGCAACATAACTTCCCAACTTCTATACCCCATGCCCTGACTGATGAAGGCCAGTATGCCAAAAGCCTTCTTCACTGTCCTGTCTACCTGTGACTCCACTTTCAGAGAACCGTGCACCTGAACTCTAAGGTTCCCCTGTTCCATTAAACTCCTTAAGGCCCTACCATTCAACATAAAACACCCACCTTGATTTGACTTTCCAAAATGCAACACCTTACACTTATCTATATTAGACGCTATTTGCCATTTCTCGGCCCACTTAACCAGCTGATCAAGATCCTGCTGCAATTTCTGATAACCTTCCTCGCTGTCCATGGTACCACTTATTTTAGTGTCATCTGCAAACTTTCTAATCATGCCTTGTACATTCTCATCCAAATCAATGATATAGATAACAAACAATGGGCCCAGCAACGACCCCTGAGGGACACCACTCGTCACAGGCCTCCAGTCTGCCAAGCATCCTTCCACTATTACTCTCTGCTTCCTACCATCAAGCCAATTGTGTCTTCAATTTGCCACTGTCCCTGGATTCCATGCAATTTAATCTTCCAGGGCAGCCTACCATGTGGAGCCTTATCGAAGGCCTTAGTGAAATCCATGTAGACTACATCTACCAACCTGCCTTCATCAACCTTCCTGGTCACTTCATCAAAGAACTCTAACAAATTTGTGAGGCATAATCTCCCACGCACAAAGCCATGCTGACTACTCCTAATCAAATCCTGTCTTTCTAAATGCATGTGTCTCTTATCCCTCAGAATCTTCTCAAGTAACTTACCCACCACAGATGTTAAGCTTGCTGGTCTATAATTCCCAGGCTTTTCTTTGTAGCCCTTCTTGAATAGCAGCACAACATTCGCTACCCTCCCGTCTTCCGGACCTCACCCGTGGCTGACGATGATGCAAATATATCTGCCAGGGCTCCTGCAATTTCTTCTCTAGCATCTTGCAGGGTTCTTGGATATATCTGGTCAGGACCAGGAAATGTATCCACCTTCATACATTCTAATACTTGTAACACCTCCTCTACTGTGATATGGACTGTTCCCAAGACATCGCCACTAACTTCCCCAAGTTCCCAAGTCTTCAAGTCTTTCTCCATGGCAAACAGAGGAGAAATATTCATTGAGGACCTCATCCATCTCCTGTGGTTTTGTACATACATGTCCATTTTGGTCCTTGAGGGGTCCTATTCCCTCTCTAGTTATTCATTTTCCTATAATATACTTAAATAATCTCTTTGGATTCACCCTAATTTTCTCAGCCAAAGCTATCTCGTGCCCCCTATTCGCCCTCCTGATTTCCTTCTTCAGTAAACTCCTGTACTCCTCTATATCTCCAGGGATTCCCTTGATCCCAGCTGCCTGCTCCTGAGCCATGCCTTCTTCTTTTTTCTGGTCAAAGCCTCAATATCACTTGTCATCCAGGGTTCCCTACTCCAGCCAACCTTGCCCTTCACCCTCATAGGAACATGTAGACCTTAGACTCTACCTATCACACTTTTAAAGGCCACCCACTTGCCAGTGGTCCCTTTGCCTGCAAAAAAACTACTCCAATCAAACCCTGCAAGCTCCCGTCTAATTTCATCAAAATTTGCCTTGCCCCAACTTAGAACTTGAACCTGTGGACCAGTTTTGTCCTTCTCCATAACTATTTAAAAATTAATAGAACTACGGTCACTAGTCCCAAAGTGCTCCCCCACTGTCGCCTCAGTCCCCTGTCTTGCCCTATTTCCCAAGAGGAGGTCGAGTTTTGTCCCTTCCTGATTAGGACCTTCTCTATACTGCTTGAGGAAACTTTCCTGAACACATTTAACAAATTCCACCCCATCTTAGACCTTAACACTATGGCAGTCACAGTCTGGCACAGTAAGTCAACGGCAGCCTATAATACTAGTCCAGGAGCTTAGAAACAGTCAGTCACTCAAGGTGGTCAGAGTCAGGATGCTCTCCACAAAAAGGGTGAGTAGCCAAATGCTGGACAGCTCACCACCATCTCAACTCCTTCTACCCTGTCTGTATTCTTTCCAACATTGGTGTTGAAGTACTAAAGAGGTTTACTTGTTGCCCGTTGGAATTTGGGCTGGGGATTGGTTGAGCTTGGTGTAAAATTCCTCTTTGGACTCATCTCTGCAACATCCACCATTTGGGTATATGTGCTGAGCACTGTAGTGCATTGGTTCTGGACAAGGCTGAGTGAGGGTCAAGAGGCATTTGTTTATGGAGAGTCTCTGAGATCGATAAAGAGTTCATTTTTAAACTCTGTCGATGCAGCAGTCTTGTTCTGATTTACTTTCCAGCAGAAGATGTAGCAACCACTGTGTTCCTTGAGCTAGCTTTCCCCTCACTGCCTGGTCTCACTTAGGGCGGTGAAGTCAATCTTGAAACAACTGAGCTCCCAAGGCCCTATAGGGAAAAAGTCACTTCAACTCCACAACTAATGAGAAAAAGCCAACAGTTACAGGGTAGTGGAGAGGGTAGTGCAGGATCAAACATGCAGTGCTCTCAGTTCAGAGCTTGGAGAATCAGGGGCCAAGACTTATATACTAAGTAAATACAAAAAATCCCTGATTTTTGAGACTGGAAAAATTGGATTTTTTTTAAACTGGATTTATATATATGATGCAAGTTGTAATAGTAAATTTCAACAGGCAAGTCCCAGAACAGGCTAGCCATCTCTAAAGCAACTGAGGAAAGCAGTAATGGGAATCTTACTCCAAGAGGTGGTTGTTATTCTACTACACCATCTCCATGGATCAGTATCACAGCATTCCTTGACAGTGCAGGTTTGAGACCAAAGTTGATGGTTGCTTTCACTGAAACAAACACAAAGCACTGGAAAAACACAGCAGGTCTGTCAGCATCTGTGGAGAGAGTTACAGATTTAATGTTTCAAGTCCAATATGACACTTTTGGAACTGTTACTTTCATTGATTCCGTGAGCCCTATGCTGAAGATTCTGTAGACCAAAATCCTAGCAAACAAATTGAAAAACAACGTTATACAAATATGTAATGAATATTGTCACCACCAGGTTCTCACACCTTCATGCAGCACCTTATTCACCAACTCAACTGATTTTACAGTTTAATTCTGCTATCCAAATTGAAGATATGCTACTATTACCAATAGCCACTATATCAATTCCATCTGTCTAGTACCTCATTAATAGTGTCTTGTTCATAATCGAATTGGTCAGGATAAAGCTCTGCATGCGATTCCATGCCAACAGTTAGAAGTTCAAATTTGACAGCACTGACATAGATAATAACCTTTAAATCAGGTCCAGGTGGCAGCCACATTTCAAAAGATGTCCACATTGGGGTTTTCAAAAAAATGCATTGTGATATAACGAGAAGCTAAGAAACAGGATTATACCCTAGTTCTCTCAAATCTATTCTACTATTCAATAAGATGGCGGCTGTTCCAGCCTTGGTCTCACCTTCCCTTTCTCGCCTGTTTCCAGTAACCCTCGACTCGCCTATATTTAAGAATCTGACTCATTGCTGTTTTCAGATTTACTTTGAAAAGTCAGATAATTCGCATCTTCAGAGAAAGTTTCCTCAGCCACAAAAATCAGTTTATCGTTGACTTCGGGAAGCATACTTAAGAATTTCATAAAGCCAGTCGAGCTTGTAAGTTACTTGATAATTGCAAACAATTGTCAGTAATGGATTTAAAAAAAATATAAGTTATACACATAAATATTTGCAGCCTATAGTTAGTTAAGTAACTTAACGATTCAGTGTTAAATGGAAAGAAGGAGTAGTAAAAGTTACCAATCATAGAACTCTGAAGTGGTTTGGAAGGTGCAAAGTTGTTCGGGAGACACAAAAAAACGACCAAAAAGTAACGCAATTCTCACCGGTCCCGGTCGAAAGAAACAAGAGTTAGCCAGTGTGAGGAAGGTCGGGAGAAAAGGTTTCAGGAGCTGAGCAGCAACTACTACTTTCTCCTCCACCTCCAGCCACTGTGATTCACGACGCCGGCACTGTTTCTATGACAACGATCGCGAGCGCTCTCGGGACAGAGCACGCAGTGATTACGGCGACGAACTGAAACAACGGTCGTAACGGTCAACACGGGCAGCAGGGAGCGGATGTTGTGTGCAATACAGTCCAAGAGCGAGTGCGACTCTGTGGCACAATAATGAATAGTTACATTTTTAACAAAGACGCCGGAATAATTCTTCATTTTCAATTCACTGAGTCAGTAAGACAACCAACGCGTTCACAAACCAACATAACGAGTAGGAGGAGGCCATTCAGTAAGATAATGGCTGATCTGATTGCAACCTTAAATAAAATTTTGCTTACTCCTGATAGTCCGAAAGAACTGCAGATGCTGTAAATCAGAAACAAAAACAGAAGTTACTGGAAAAGTTCAGCGAGTCTGGCAGGCAGCATTTGTGCAGAGAAATCCTAGTTAACATTTCCGGTCGAGTGACGCTTCCTCAGACAGTTGTTGTTAAAGAATCTATTTACCTCTGTTTTCAAAATCCTCGTACTCCCAGAACCTTTTCAGGAAGAGTTCCAAAAATACTCACCCCCCTCAAAGAAAAAAAAATTCCCCTGTTTAAAAAGGGCAATTCCGATTTTTAAACAGTAACAGAAGAAGGAGCATACACTCCACAACCATCGTGTAAACGTACGAACATCTGACTTACAAACATACTTAATCCGAGATCGGGGTGTAATTTTAAAGACCCGACATAGAAACGTTTCTAATACTTATGAACATCTGTTTTATACTGTCCGATACTGTGTTCCAAATTGCGTACAAATGGACTTGCAAACGGACGCAGGAACAGAACCCGCTTGCAACCTGGGGGATAGTAGGAACTGCTGATGCTGGCGTCTGAGATAACAAAGTGTGGAGCTGAATGAACACAGCAGGCCAGGCAGCATCAGAGGAGCAGGAAATCTAACGTTTCGGGTCTGTTTTCTGAAGAAGGGTCCAGACCCGAAACGTCAGTTTTCCTGCTACTCTGATGCTGCCTGGCCTGCAACCTGGAGACTGCCTGAATGTTTACCATAACGCCTCACTCTTCTGAATTCCAGCGGCTACAAGCCGAGCTCTCCTCATGAGACAAACTGCCCATTCCAACTCTAGTGTGAACTGCATCCAACATATTTACATCCTTTCTTAAATTAGGGGACCATTACTGAATTTTTCTTGTTATCCGCTGATTTCCGATCCAAGGATCTGCCGACTTTCGAGATCTACTCAATGGCTCACAAGGTCATCCCAAAGAGAGAACGCTTAACTACTCACGATGTCAATTCAAAAGATCACAAGGAGTGGATGCTTACAACAAGTGAGATCATCTGGAGAGATCCATTCAATAGGTCAAACTTTTTAATGTGTTAACTCGCTGATAAAAATGTCAAAACATAAAATCAACAAGTGCCATTCAAAATCCTGAAACACTTAGAAGAAAGAAGTGATCATATTAGCGCAAAAAGTAGAAATCTTAGATAAATTGAACAGCAGCTTAAGTGGAGCCACAGTCAGAAGTCAACTATTTGTTCAATCAAGTCAAAAGAAAGACTTCTGAAGAAGGGTCTAGACCCGAAGTGTCAGCTTTCCTGCTCCTCTGATGCTGCTTGGCCTGCTGTGTTCATCCAGTTCTACACCTTGTTATCTCAGATTCTCCAGCATCTGCAGTTCCTACTATCTCTAAAAGCAAAGTCATTTGTGCATGTGCAGCATTTAGTGATCCAACAAGTGCAAATGTAGTGCATGTGGTTAGAGACAAAGCTACGGTGAAAATGGAAAGAGCATCAAGCTTGTGGATAGAGGACATGAATCAGTAAAATGCTCCTATAAACCTTGCATCAATTCAAGCCAAGTGTATGAAATTGTACAATGTGTTCCATGAGGAGATTTGTGGTCGGGGATAAGCAAAGAAACATTTGCAGCCAGCAGAGGATGGTTTGATAACATCAGGAAACATTATTTGTTCCATAATGGAACATAATCCATCAGCAGACCATGACGTTGTGCAGGTATATCCGGAGGAGTTACAGAAACTTATTGAGGAAAAAGGATAAAGACCCAAACAAGTCTTTAATGCTGACAAAATGGCATTATGGTGGAAGCATATGCCAACACAAACATATGTCTCGCAAGACGAGAAATGAATTTCAGGCTTCAAGGCTGTGACCCCCTTGATGTGTGGCCACTCTGGTAACCATATGATATAAGCAAGTAAAAGTAATGGATACAAAAAGTGCATGCCTTTCACAGGCATGTTTATTTGATATTTTGACAATAAGCTGTCTATCCTTGCCAATTGACATCAATGTGTGAACCCACTTATACCTGATCAGCAAGGAGCAATGAAAACAATTGTGGCACAAGCAAGATGCAATGTTAGAAAGGTAGGGATAGATTTTAATAACTTCAAGGAGAGTTCATAGAAGGATAAAAATGACATCTGGACTCAATTCCAGGATATTCAATTTTCAGCTATGCCATATATGGTTGTAAATCCTGCACTCCCAACCTGGCCTGCTTTGTAGAGGGGCTAGGCATGTCCTAAGTCCTTTCAATTTCCGTGGAGAGGAACCACCTTTTAAAGAACTTGTATTTGTCACCTCAGCTTCATTATGCATTCTTGGCTGAGATTCAGGCATCTATCAGAGCAGAGTGACCAATCTTTTTTGTGTGAGAGGCTAGATTGCAACTTATTTTTCTCATGCAGGGGGTTGATCAGCAAATTTCGGAAAGAAAAGGTTTGTCAGTTGAGGTATGAAGAAACGACAAAAAACCATTCACAGGAAAAGAAAGCAATGCCAAAGTAGTGAATTGATAATTTTAGAAAATGTATATATAACAAAGATGACGATTAAAATGTGCCAAGCAGAAGAGGGAAGCATTCAAAACTTCTTGGTCTATTTGTTTAAGAAGAAGGGCTTGAGGGATATAGAATAAGCCCCAAGTTCTGATCAGTAGGGAAGGGGGTAGAGACCATGGCCAAGCTAAAGAGTTGGATTTAATCAACACTGACCTTGCTTTGGCTTCTGAAGGTGTACAGTCTGAGCTAGCCTCAGCAGAATTCATA